TAGACTTCAGCGTAGAGGATGACCCAATTGCGATCAATGCCCTAGTTGTAGCCAAGTGCAGGAATCTTCGACCCACCTCCTATTCAAAGTGCCAGTTTTCTACTCCCGTCTGGAAGGAGGTGCTCTCATGGTTGAATCTTCAAGTAGACACGACGAATTGTCATAGCTTTCCCATGGTTAAAGCTTGGTGGCAAGGAATTATCAACATTGTACATCAAAGAAAGACTCTCTCATCTTTGATCCAACTTGTTGGATGTGAGATTTGGAAAGAAAGGAACACACGTGTCTTTACAAATAGAGTGACACCGGTGGCCGTAATTATTAGCCTTATTAAGGACATAGGGGTGAACCCGCTTAGACGCACCTGATGTCACAGGACACCGGGTAAGTTCTCCGATTACCTTAAGTGATCGCTGATATATTACGTGGGACACCGGTAAAATTTGTACGTGGACACCGGCTGAAGCGATGGTGCATAGGCCTGGACGCCTGACCCATCTATTGGCCATTGAGTCACCCATCTAGCCATACCCCAGGCTATCGATCAAAAAACTGTACTCTAACATTTGTATAGTAAGTCTTGTATAGTAAGTCATGTGCCCGCGTTTTGTAAATGTTATGTATAAGAAGTTATAGAGGCTGTTTGGTTGCCACCCTGAACTCAATTGCCTGGCGATAGCCCTTGCCTGTAACCTGCCTGAGGTTTGTTTGGTTGGTGCCCTGAGAGTTCAACCTAAAGATTATTCCCTGTGCAAAGTTGCCTGAGTCAGGCCTATGAAATTGAACGCCTGAGCATGGCTGCATCTCCTCCCTTTGCTGCATGAGCACCTACAATAAAATCAAACACATTAAGACCTTGTACAATGCAGATGCTTAGGGAGGTGCTTAGAAAAATAAACCGGGCTTTCCTTGACCACTAGTGCCTATTTTTATAGGGTAGACACCTAGGCACCGGTGCTTAAGAAAAAGCCCGGTTTATTTCTCTAAGCACCTCCCTAAGCACCTTGCGTTGTACAAGGCCTAACATGCAGGAAAGGAGCGTCCGCTGATCGATCCAAATCTTGTCACATCGTTCCCCCCGCGCCGCCACCCGTGAGGCGGCCGGGGCGGGCGCCCAGATCCCTCTGCCGCCGGTCTCCCCTCCTCCTTCCTCCTTCCTCGCCGCCGCCAGGGGGCGCGGCCGGCGGGGCCTGCTCTTCCTCCTCCGCGCGATGGGGGTGACACGGGTTTCTCCATCGAGTGCGGGCGCGGGGCACTGCGGCGTGGCGGTGCG